CATGTCATTGACAGTCGTGGTTGCGAGAACAGTGCAGAACTCTAGTTTGCACGTGCTGCAGCAGTGGGCACATAAAGGGACTGTCACGAAGAAGGCGGTCTGCATATCGCTCTTGATTGTTGATTCGTTGGACGAGGAAACGCTTGCTTGTGATGCTGTTGGCGGGGTGACCCACACAGAGTCCGCTTGCATGTCTGCTACCCACATTTAAAAGACTGTTGCACACGTTATGCAGAACCGTGGACTGTGTGGGTGATGCAGAATTACTGTAGAAGCTGTGCACCTTCGTTGTCGTAATCTACAAGACAGCTGTATGTAATAATAGTGTGATGGGTGCATGTTGCGTGGAACAGCTGCTTGGGACAAGAGGTGCAGTGCATAGACTGACATGCCTGGACGCTGTGTACGTCGACAAGCTACTATTGCCTGCAGTGACAGACACATAAATGGTCGTAATACCCGTCTGCCGCACAGCAGAGGGAGGGTAGGAGGTTGTGTGTATCATACAGTCTTGTGAATCGCGTATCTGGTGTGCATGTCATACGCTTCATATCGCATTGCATACTACAGTATGTCCTGTGCGTTTCAGCCCCCGTGACCTGCTTTGACACACCGGCAGAAGGGCACATGTTCGCTGTACAGCAGTGGGAAGCTGTGTGGATCGCGCAATTACCGTTTTAACGTCAACACAGACCTCGGGTTTTGTCCACGCATGCACATTTCAAAAAAAATCCAAGAAACACTGAATGTAGAAAAAGTTCTTCACAATTTTCTATAATAGAAGTGCGTCCGACGATGACATTCCTACGAATAATATGGTACTTACTTTGATGTATGCGCTGCTCCTCCAACTGGTGGGCTGTACTATTGCTCGCAATCTGCCAGCGTAGTGCACATTACCCTTAGATGGTGATTCGGTGGCTGTGTGTATTGTGTGTAGTGGGCTTTGTGCGCCTTGGTGTTGTTTACACGTGGAGTTGTGTTTTGCAAAGGTTTGGTGACGCAAGCGACCAGTTTCAGAAGCGTTGATTGGTAACTTTGCACTGCGTCAAATCTGTTCGGCTAACGACCACGGACACTTTCTTGGCCAAAAAACAAATTGATGTCGAGGTCAAACAGCACAATTAGACAAACACCCCCCGTTTTTATACTTTGTTCTTCATGTTCTTGCGGCGGTCGTCTCCCCTTCCCATGTATTCTACGCTGTACCCCTTCGTGCCCCCTTCCCCGTCTTAGTGAAAGAACACCAGCTGAGGGCACATGATGAAAAATTCCGTCGGGCCATCTTGGTGTAGGACCACCCTTGCCGTTCGATTCCCAGGCCCTTGTGCACACCGCTTCGGCAGGCGTAAGTGTCTAAGTGTCGAACAACAAGGAGGGTTGTGGGCGCCCGCAAACAACACAAGTCGAGTGAATGGGTTTCGGAGTGTCGAATCATCACCAACAACAACGACTACTGCACAACCACCCCGCTGAGTGAAACCGGAGCAATGCCACCGCCACGCACGCGCCCCGGCGAACTCCAACGTTGTTCGTGGAACGCGCATGTATCGGTAGTGGGTGATGGGAGGGTCGAGGTCGAACGCTCAAAGCAAGATCGTATATGTGAAGCCCTCCCCCGCTCGCCTTCCATCCACATGTGCGCATTCAAGCTAGGAGCCTACACGTAGACGGCTGTGACTGCCCCTCAAGAGGTCAAACCTTCCGAAAGAGATTTCAAGATACCAGGTAGACATTTATCAACAGCATGAAGCCAAGAAGCTCCGACTGGGAAGAACGCTCTCCGGTTCCCCCACCGACAGAATAAACGTAGGGTTATCCAACTGCAACCAAGAACATAGAGTGGCTCTCACAATTGTTTGTGTTGGTAGTTTTTCTCTCGTAACACTGAAAATCGGTCCGTTTCTGGTAGTGTCCCCGTGCTCTTCGTGGCAATGAAATTGTACATCGAGTCCAAAGTCACAAGCTGACCTACCCTAAGGTGTACAGAGAAACAACCTAGTGAACTGACGGCCACAAACTGTTCTTGTTTTGCCGTGTATGTGTTGAATGACCTTTTATCACTAGTGCTTAGGACAGCAGAGGAGATCGGGACTCCGAGACAAGGTGGCGGGAGAGAGAATGAGCAGATGCGTGCGCTCCCAGAGGCCCGCGCCCCATGCACAAACCATAAACCCACCCCAGGGTACTATCAGCTCCTATCTGAGATACAACATACAACAGTCAGGTTGGTATGTCCAAATCCGCCGATGCACACACGGACAGCGACGTCCAGTCGTTCGCGAAGAGTTGCAACTTCGTGCTGTTCTGCGAGTAACCATGCTCCTCTCCAAGACGAATCCTTTCTAGACAGAAGGAGCTGCAACTACAAGGTACTATGATACTCTCTCACCAGCGTCTGTCCCATTTTCGAAAGTCGCCTTCACTTGTGGGCGACGCGGTCAGACTCGATCCGGCTGCAGCCAAACTGACGAACTGCGATCGCATAGCAATTGAAAATATCGCACACGAATATGTACGAGGAGATGGAACAGGGATCGTGGTGGAAGCAAGAAAACACGCAGGGCCATACCGTCAGCTCTCGCCGGTGCACATACCGACAGGGCAACAGATCTCGGCGCCGTCTCAGAATAGGGATTAACATCAGCACCGGGCGCAGGACATAAGAAGAAAAAGGTTCACGAAACCTTCACGGAACTCGAGCATAAACCAACCCCAGGGCGTTTGCCACGCACCCAAACGCTCTCCGCCTTGCAACGGAAAAGCGAGACGCTCCAATTTCATGCACCCAGGGGTGTTCCCCCTACCGTTTCCCACGTAAATAGTTTTCCACCAATGATCCCTCCGACCACCTAACACTACCGCCCGTGAGCATCCGTTTGCGCACGGAGCCTTCATCGCTGCGTTCTCTCAGGGCACTTCCAAATATTTCCGCAATAGTAAACGACAGAAAACGGTACCATACAAGGAATCGACTCGAATATTGACCCCCGAGGCTCCACGCTGATTTGTCAAGACAACCGATTGCCGTCCTCTGGCGGTTCAAGCTGGAGAACACCGCGACTGGGCTTCTCGAGTTGGCATTCATCGGGGTTTTCGCACCGGTCACCGATCGCTGTCGTCAAGAACAACTCCCGCACCATGACCGTCCTGCTTGATGCGACTGTCGGACCTCTCAACTCACCCGATCATGTGCAGCATTAACATCCACCGAGGACTCGGTTACGAATCATCCATCGCGATGGACCAAACTCAACGGTCACCACGGTCCGAACACAAACAACGCTGCAACACGCCGGGGCCTGTTGGACCCTTTCATCTCTGCGGCGTTCCGGCCGTGGCGCCCTGCCAACGACGCAGAAACATCCGAACTACACCGTCGCCGCCACCGCGTCCACCGCACGTGCGACACAAGTGTTCCGACATCGGATAGTCCCGTGTACAGGTATGCTTACACATCAACTTTCAGTCTCTCGCACAACCGTAAACACAAAAAAGTCTGCGGACCGACAAGCACACAAATCACACAGCAGTAGGTAGGCCCAAATACGTATCGGACCATCCCATGTGAGCCAGGTTTATCGGCGTTGTATTTACATACTTTTTGTACTAAATACGCAATCGATGCACATCAGTTCTGTCCTCGCCACCACTGCAGGTGGCGCTCTGTCGCTATTGAAGACTTCAGCAGCAGTTGTGTTCTACACACAAACCGCAAGCTGTGGAGACACCTTCGGCTGATATGTCTTTCAACGCTGCCACGATACACCCCACTTTCGTTTCCAGCGAGTGGGCAACAAAGGTGGAAACTTGCCCCATATTATGTAGTGCCATCCTCTGTCCAGAATCACGCATCGTACACCGGAAGCCATGTAGATACACCAGCGGCGGTGGGTTCGCCACTTTCCAGTTCTTATGTTTATTGCGAAGTAGGGTCGGCAGTAGAACGAAAGCCACCACAGGCACCCACAGCGAAGTTGCACGCTGTCAACCTGATGCTGTGTGCCCTACCAATGTTGTACTCAGTATTGCAGGCCAGGGGGTAACTCCACAGCGGTATTTGTCTACACCAAGCGGCCCACCGCTGCTGTCCCCCCCCGTATCTGAACGCTTCTGCACCCCCGCCCTCGACACCGACCGCCCAAGAGCTGAGCCTACGTACGACCCCCGAACTGTCGAACTCTCGTTTTCAGCGGTCGGCGGCTTGCTCAAAGGCCGGCCGCCAGGCAGCGTGACAGTTACGTTCCTCACTTCCTCACCTCCCGCCGCCTGCGCTGTTCCTTTCTCCGACCCCACTTTGCTGAGTTTCTTCTCCCTCAAGCCAAGTTGTTCCAGTACCGAGATGAGGGTTAGGGCCTCGAGAGGGAATTCAGTTCGTTTCTCCCCAGGGTGCAGCTGGGTGTGTACACCGTTCGCACTCCTCCGTGCTTTGTCTCAGGGTCTCGGGGTCTATCAGCAGCGGCTAGATTGTCAAACGTCATTTTGGTGGGGTTCGTTTCAAGAACCTCCGCTATTTTTTGGCCAATAGGGACGGCGGGCTCAACAAATAGGTTCTGCGGTCAACGTCGGTAGTCGGTAGTCGGTAGTCGGTACGTCGGTACGTCGGTACATACGTGGGTTGTGGGTTGTGGGGTCGCCAGAACCCCGGACAGAGCAGCGCGTGCGGTGCGGATGCGGAACATTGGGAACCTATGTAGAGCATTGAGATATCTTCGTGACAGACAGGTGAGGCACAGAGGTGCTCACCGTCCTGCTACTGCTGTGGGGCTCAGGCAGTACTACAGTTCTCTGCAAGTACTCCGCGCGGAAAGATGAAAACCGGTTGGATCCGACGGCTGTTGCTCCTTGGACGATTGTCCTTGGCAACAACAGCAGCAGTCGAGGGCGGCAGCCCTTCCGCTGTGCCGTCCCCAAGCTCTTCGTCTCCGTCACCAGACACAGAAAGCCCGCCGCTGCCGGTAGGCATCGTGATACAAGCCCTTGGGCGTTCGGGCAGCACGATGATTGGGGAGCTGTTCCGAGAAAACGAGGTGCTGTGCCCGGACAACATGAAGTAGATTCGCTAACGGTGCACAGCACGACTGCTGTAGCCCTTACCCGCTCTTGCCCCGCGCCTTAGGCTGTACACAGAGAGCAACCTGGTGTTTCACCTGTCCCGCCTTAGGGCTACCTGTGCGGCAAACTAGTAGCTTTTCACCGTTCAGCAACCTAGCGCTAACCACGCTAGCACCCTACATAGCTATACCTTGTGCCGCGGCTTGCCGCAGCTTACATTGCCCTACAATACGTACGTTGACCTACAGCAGCGCTTACCAGTGTATCATTGCTTTGGGTCGGGATGGTTGTATTGGGGTTAGGGATAGGGCTGTATCTAAGGTTTGGAACGGTGCAAAAAAAATGTACAGCAGCAATAGTCTCGTGCTAGCCTAGCTTTTCACCGTGCAGCAACCTATGTTGCGCTAACGGTCACAACATCCCAGCCTTAACGATGCACAGCAAAACCTAGCCCTTTCCCCCTCTTTCGCCGCGGCTTAGCCTATACTGCGCACGGTACAGCAGCAACCTGCAACGCCAATAATACAGCAACCTAGCTTTTCACCGTACAGCAACGGCTTGCCGCGGCCAAGGCTTGCTCAGTAAAATGACCTAAGTATTATCACTTTCCGATGGCAGAGTTTTGCGTCGGGTCCTTTGGGTTGGGTCAGGGATAGGGCTATATCCTAGGTTGGGAGCAGTGCAGAAAAAAACAGCAGCAGCAGCATCCCGGGTTCGAATCAGCAACCAGTACCTTCGGAAGGAAGCGTTTTATTCATCGGGGTAGTTTCTCCTCCATCCCGGACCACCCCCGGTGGTGCATCGGGCTATACACTGCAACTCTGGAGGTTGCATACCGGAAGTTTCCACAGGAAAGTTCCCGTGAACCATGTTGCGTTCGACCAAGTCATTAGCACCCTATAGACTCTGTAGAAGTTGTATACAGGAAGGCTCCACAGGAAGATTCCCATCAACCATTGCGTTCGACCAAGTCGTCAGTCATCATAACTTTAGCAGTCCGTCCCAATTTGATGTTTTCACCCTAAGTATGGTTGTGTTCACGACTAACACGGGCTTCTCCCCCTACATCCCTGTAGGCAATCTCACGAGTGTCTGCATTCCGCTGAGATTCGAGCCCACGAAAACGTGCTGCGAGACTTCTGTATGTACCAAATGAACAACACAGCCGCTGTTTGTCGTGCGACGGAGTTCTTGTGTTGGGGGTATGTTGTAATAAATACAGCACCGAGACTACACTGTAGCATGGTCTAGTCTCCCCCTTCAGTTTTTTTTTCTTTTTGTTTCCTGTGGAATTCGGACGTCGGGCAGACATAGGAACCCGACGTTGTGCGTCACATCTGGCCGGCATCACTTCTGATCTGAGAGACGACAAGTTCCTCGTCTACCAGCTCTCAAACTCTGATCCTCGTCCCATAAGAACGCGTTTCGTGCTGATCTGAAGAAACTCGTTGTACGGATCGACCGTCGGTTCTCGGAGTGGTACAGGCCGTTCAACTCCGTAGACCAAATGATTTCGAGGTATTTCAAGGAGTGCAAGGTATTGTGGGGGGCACATATGTGGTGTGTACCTGCTCAATTTTGACCTCTGAGCTTGTTTCGTTTGGCCCTGCTCTTTACCCTGTCATTAACTGTATGTGCCGCGCAGGATGTTGTGTATGTGTACGAACCATGCCGGGCCTCTGGCAAGGGGGTACTGGGCAACTACCAAATGCTTCTTCGGACGGAGTGCTTCGCGCTTGCACGCAGGTAAATTGCTGCTTCGTCCATTTGGGGTCTTACGGGGCTATCACCACACATGAGTTCCTTCAACCGGGCTCAAGCTCGACCCGGTGCAATGCAAGGAAATCTGCAAAATAGCAGCATACGCAGAGAACCGAGAACATACATGCCGAGACTCCCCTCGTGATGCCGGCCGGGCTCTCCTGTATGATCCTCTTGTTCCCCCGTGTCAGGTTAGTCCGGTGTGAGTTCGATGTGAACGACTCCGACAGGCTCGGAACGGACGGCTTTGCTGCCGGGTTTAGCTCACCTGTGGTGGCCGATGTGCACAAATCAGTCAAGGCCGGCAAAGGGAGCGGTGGTGGCTATAGGGCTGAGCTACTCCATCGAGCGCACCAAGCGTTGATGGACGCTTGCAAGGAGAGCAGGTGAAAACACCTGATGTGTGAGAGTACAGAGTTAAGACTTTTTGAGCAATAACACGGTGATTGCTATCCTACAGCACAGGATGAAGCAAGTCTAATGTTGTCGGTACGGGCTGGTGGGACCGGGTACAGATATCGCTAGGTCGAGCGTACCTTGGGAACGACCGAAAAGCGCACGCCTAAGTGTGGACGAAATCGCTCGTGGAACCTGGCAAGGGAGTGATAGAACGATCGACGGTGCAGAAGAGGGGGAAGGGGGAGGAACTGTTTACATCTGCCTCGAATACTACCCCGCTCACCCATTCACCCCGGCAGTCAACCTTCGCTAACGTGGCGCTTAATTTCTTAGGCCTCTCCCATCTCGCCCCCGCTCCGCCATGTTTCGCAGAGCTGTGGCGATCAAGACCATTCGCTTGCTGGACGGAGTGGGCGATGCCGCAAAGTACGACACCTCGGGGGTGAACATTCTGCAGCTCGTGCGTGACCCTCGCGCGGTAGTTCGGTCGCAACTGAGGCACTGGGGCTTAGATAGGTTCAGCGAGGCGCTGCCGAATGTTCGAGAGTTGAAGGGCATGACGGACTGGAGGGCGAGGCAGACGGAATCTAGGCGCGCCGTGGGACAATAGTGAGTACACCCGACCGGAAAAAAACAACGCGAAGGGTCAACTAGAGGGTAAGCTTAGGGCCGTGAAGATGTTTGCGACTTCGATTTTGGTCTATTATCCTGAAGAATATGGCAATCGATTGCAACGGATTGGTGGTGGACGCAACGGGGCCCCTGATGGGTCGTTCCGATCCCGAAAAAAAAATTCAAGGGTGTAGGTCGGTGTTGCTCTAATAGTCACCCTTTGAGGGCCATCGACAATAAACCGGATGGCTATCGTCTATTGATGTCTGTCTCGACTTGCCGTTGGCCAGGGTGCGCCATGAGCTGGATATCATCACAGGAGGATGGCGGAGGATTCCCAGCTAGTGACCCGGAACACGTGTTGATCATGAACGTTTGGGTGGACGTTCGGCCGAAACACTTGTCATTCGTTCCACCCCCTTGTCTGTGTTCAACTTCGCCAACTTCCCCCCCTTTTTTCGGTCTCCAACAACGAACTGCCCAACCGCACAGCTTATGCTCAAACTACCGGATGCAGCTGGACTCGCCCAAGCAACAGCACCTTGACGATGGGAAATACCTCCAGCTACGATACGAAGACTTTGCTACACTCCCTACCGTTGTCGCTGAATTGGTATACTGCTGGGCTGGGCTGGGCCCCCTCCCCCCAACCGTGGCAACGTGGATCGACGAACACACCAAAATGTCGAACTGTGATGCTGCGCACGGCCCGAGAACGCGCCGCCGGATGGCCACCAGCTTGGTCGCCACCGCTGCTAGCCACGAAGGTTGTGGCGGCTCCATGGCAGTCTTGGTCAGCGGGTGCGAACAAGGAGAGCAACATCACCGGGAGATAGGCCACACCGACGCTTTGCGGAAGCCAGGGAACCTGAGAAAGAGGTCCAGCCCTGGCGGAGCTTCCTTTTCAGTACCTGTAGGTGAGAGTGCGGGGCCTGTGCCTGCGAGCCACCGGCAGTCAAACTCAAGCAGGGAGCCTGCACGCGATACGGAACCCTTTGACCTACAGGGATATGCCACGTTGGTTCCGGCGAATGGAGCAACAGCGGTGTCTACTGGAACAACCAACGGGAGCCCTCCTGTACGGCCGAATGCTCGAAAGGCCCTCGAGGCTGCGGCCGGTACCGCCGGCGCCGACAAAGGCACCGGCGGGGACTGCGTCAACCAGAAACGCTACTCCGACCAGCATCCCTACGACACAACGCGGCACTCCTCGGCCATGGTAGACCTGTGGCGACAACAGATGCCCCAAGCGGACGCACAGGCCGTTTGGGACGCTTGCCAAGCGTCCAGGGTCATGGAGGAGCTAGGATACTCACTCTGACGAATGACGAAGTGGGCGAGCGATATTGATCGACTTCAGACGCCGAAGTTGGGTGCTAACCTGATTGGCAAGGGTGACCTCCGCGTGTCACGTACGCTTGAGGATACACGAGTACTCAAATCTTCGTCTTGTCTTTAGTCGATGTCGCCGACCATTGTACGGGTACTGGGGAGCTTTCACCAATGTGAAGGTTCTTCCGATCACAACGATGCCACCTCTTAGGTACGTTTTTGTGTCCCGTTGTTCGTGGGCGTCGTTCTTCGGACTCGCGTAGTTTGATTGGACCGCTGATTGGATGCGCTCATGCACCATTTGCCGATCAGTAGACTGGGTCTGTTTGTGTTGTTGTGGTGGACCATAAGCGAACAGGGACAACTCACGTCTGGAAACGTCACTGCTGTGATTGCGTGGATTTGACAGTTGTTAGCGGGGGCCGATGAGGCATAACTCTCAATCTTGTCCTTCGCGACAAAAGTGAAGGTATTGGTCTTACGTTGGACACCAAGTCGAGATATTAAGCTCGCGTGGTGCCGCGCTCCCACGCCACATGTGTACTCCAAGGGATGAGACGATCTTGACACGACACTTCTCAAAGAATAAGCAATCCAAAGGGGTTCAAATGTTGAAGGCTCGTGACAAAGGTGCCTCCCTCAATCACTGACTTTTGTCACACGCACACCTCCTTTTCCCTGCATCCAATGTCTCGCTCATGGTTAGATAGGCCTATCCGGCTCATGGACTGCAGCTTTCAAAGCTCGTTACACCACAAGGAGCGACGTAGAAATCACCCACTCCCGCGCTCTGGAACTGCACCACCAGCGCCCAAGCGACGGCCAATCACGTTTTAGTGTTTCGGACCGGAATAACACTCGACTCAGCAAGTAGGTAGTTCTTACGCCACCGAACACTACTTCTTGCCCTTCAGATCGCAGCGAAACTACCGCCGGAGTATTGCTAGCACCAACTGTTGGTCAGGGAGTAGAAGATGGCCCAGACGGAGAAAGGCATAATTGGGTCAATACCTTTCCAAGAGATGCAAACTTGCTAACCAAATCCGCAGAAATGGAAAAAGAGTAAACTCAGGTTGCTTCCTTGGCGGTGAGTGCAAGCACAGCCTCTCCTGACAGCATGTCTTTCGGCTGCAATCCCATGGTGACGCTCCTCCGGTACACGGACATGATGGACTCGGGCGTCACCAGGTGAAACACATTCCTGCAAAAAAAAAAAAAATGGCAAGAACACGGACGGGTCCAAGAAGTAGGCAAAATGTTCGGACCAGTTTCGAAACGAGTTCGAGAATTTTCGACAAGAGGTCGGATCGAGACCTTCTTTGCTACCACAATAGTATTGTCGAAGGATTCATTTTCTCAAAGTTTCGAAGATTTTCGGAACCGTTTTTTCAATAAACCAAGACAGAGTTTGTTTCTGGGTGGCCGAAGGGACCGCTCACCTCAGGGCCACGATGGCGTTCCTCACCCGACAGATATTCGTCCTAGCCTCCCCTATGGTCTCCTGCGGCAGACGGAAGCACAGCGAGGGCGGAACCGCCGCGAAACGCACACAACGAGGGGCCGGCAGTTTTCAACACTTCACAGTTGGCACCAGGTGCCCGCGGACCTTGCTAGCTAGAAGTGTCCTGGGTAAAATCAGATGAATGGCTGGTTGGGCGTTGGTCGCCATGCCATATGGTGACGGGAGTGGCATCGCGATCGCAAGTTACAAGGTTCGGTTTCGCGGGCAAAACAAAGCGTGCAAAAAATTCCCCAACTTATTGCTGTACCGCCAGAACATCGACACGAGAGGTATGGCAGACAACGACCAAAAGGAGGCGGGGGGGAGAGAGACACCAGTAGTCGTTGCTGATAAAATGCGTGTCACGTAGATGACCGCAAGGCATAAAATGGCGGCAGAGACAGTTGGGTGCGGTATCCCTGGCGCGGCCACTGCTCGTAACCGCGCAAACCAGCTGTAACCAATGCACCGCTCTTTACCGTCTCAGCGTGCTGTTTTCGTTGGCGTGTGAGCGTCTCCGCCTTTGGGGCCACGCTCCCCGTGCCGGCCGCGTCTCCCTCCTCCTTGCCCTTCCACTCTTCGGGAGGTGTTCCTGTTTTGCACGCACGAAAAAAGAAAAGAAAACAAGCACGGAATCATACATCCGCGAAACGAGAACAAAATAAACGTCAAAAGCGACCCTTTACTGCTACGACACAGGAATCTAATTAGGTTTCCGGGGAGTCCAGTGTCAAGAGAGAAGCAGGTACTCCTACGTACAAAGCTGTAATTGCACAACCCACGTACCGCAGCAACACGTCCCAAAACCAGTCCTGCTTTGAAAAGGGATCTCAGTAAGCAAGTCCTCAGAGACACGCTTCGTGGGAAACAACATACGACACATCAAAAAGCAATACCTGGCTTTGCAATGCAGACATTCTTGCCACACCCCAACCGTTGTCATAAACCCCAGCAGAGGGACTTCGGCTCGGACCCGAAAGAAGACTCCGCGGGGGGGGGTCGCGGCTAGGAATAACCGTCCTGGCCAGAACCGCAAACCAAAAAGTGATTGGTACAGTAGGGTGGGCGGGGCAACGACGGAAAACTCACTCGAAATCCAGACGTTCCCGTTTGTCCCCAGGATGACGTCGACGCCCGTGTCCGGCAGAGACACCACGTGCTGCTTCAGCCTTCGGATCAGCACGGGCGGCACCGAAACTAGCTGCCCGTTCTCCAGCTTGGCGAGGAAACAGGCACAGGTCGGGGGAGAGTTTTCAGGAAAGGGGGGTAGAACGACACGATGTGGTGTGCACGGTGGGTTACCCGTTGGAGTGTTTGCGTAGCTCCCAGAAAGGGTCCATCCCCGTGACCCCCCATCGTCACCCTCGCTGCATAAGCACAAGGCTCCCCCTGATGCGTTGGTGAAAAAAGGTCGAGCTTTCGCCATACTGTAGCTCGCCAATCGCAACCGATGGCGACAATGTGGCAACAACCAAAGCCTGGCCTGAGACACGCACACACGACACATACACGATGGCAACAGAGGCATAGTATTGCCTCGAACACCCGACAGCAAGACCTCACACCTTGCCATACTTGAGACTTCTGGTGTGGAGAGCGATTCCTCCGTCCGAGTTGACCTGCTGAACTTCAGCCTGCAGGAGGGAAACACGAAAAAACAACAGCGAGACGTCAATATCTACATGTTGTTCGGGTCGGTACGGAATATCGCGTTTCCAAATTGAACTATTGCAGCACGGGCAAGCACAACCATCAAACAAAAAATGAAACCAATAAGGAAACCAACAACATCCAACAGAATCGACCCTCTACGAACAGCAACACCCCACCCGCGTCACGAACGAGCGTCCAACATCAAGCAATCCAATATTCCCGCGAAGACATCATATCCTCCGGGAAAGGCAAGCGATTGGCCAAAAAACCAAATTGAAAAAGACGCGACAAAAGCACTCACGCTGATGAGGTCGTGCTCCTGGAAGAACGATCGCATCTGCAGCTGGTCCTCGTATGTCCTCATTCTCTGCTGCCCACCCGGAAGGTTCACGGAGCTAAGCATCAACACCGCACTTCTGTGCGCACCGACCTACACAGCACGGCGAAACGGGGGGGAGCCGGGTGGAGGAAAAACGAGTCAGGACGTTCGATAATCTGCCCCTGTACAAGCAACAAGCGTGCACGTGAAGCTCTCCTAGAGCGTATGGTCGGGAAACGCTTGCCGTGCAGTGTGAATATCAGCACTGCGGTAGTGTGTCTGTGGGGGGGGGGGGGGGGGGGGCACAGTCTGTTGCACGTTGAGCAGTAGGATGGACGGTGCCGTTTCACCGAATGTTGTTGTTTGATCGCCCGGTACCTCGCGACAAGCCAGGCAGGGTATTACAGCATCGTCCGAAAAGCGGGTTTAAGTTTGACGCCAGGGCCACGGCTGAGGACAGATACTGTAGATGGAGAAACAACCTAGTCAAACTTACACCCGTCACCCAGTCACGAACTATTGAAAACTTGCTCACCTCCACGCTCCAGCGTTTCGATTGTACTTCCGTCACCCTTCCCACGACCAGGTCCCCTACCTCGCCGATGTACCTTCAGTCATCATAGCGTTTCAGGACCAGCAGTAAAGACAGGCGTCAGTTCTGATTTCGAGCAAAAGGCGCCAGGAACCCCATGAGATGACACCCGGTCTCGAGATCTATGCCGAACGCAGCCATGCGAAGCAAGCGTCTTGCCTGGAGCTGCAAAAGTGCGGGCCGCACGGGCGAGACACGGCTGTGGAAAGTGGTGCGACATGACAACGATTGCAGGGACGGCAGCAGGCACCTGGACTTGATTGGCCGGACAGAGATGAGCTTGTTCACCCTCTCCACCACTCCGGCCACGCACGCCAGGAGCTTGGGAGGCCCGCCGTCTGTCCCCTCTTCCACGTACGTCCCGTGCCCCCGGAGGTATCCTTGCACAGAGGTTATCTCCTAGGGATATGGGCAAGGAGTAAGCACACGAGATTTTGCGATTGCGGGGTGATAAGGAAGAGTGGGTGGAATTCTCCACGGTTGCGTTGAGATGGTGGGTGGCCCGTTCCGAACCCCACAGCAGCGGTTTGAGGAGATCGAGAGTGTCCACAGATCCGTAACGCATCGCGTTTCACAGAAACTGTTCAGAAGGCCGAAACACGAGAAGATCTGACGGTGAACAAGGCCCATCGAGAGCTAGGTAGCACCGCGCGATCACCATCAGCTCTTAACAGACACCGCAACTCTACACGTTAGGTGTGCATAGATGAAGGTTTCAGGTGCTACTCGCGCCTTTCGTCGCTACTTCAAGAGAGCTCGTTAGACCTTTTGTGCGTTTGAGGCACCCTCCTCCGCCTTAAATGGAAACCGAAAGGGCGCATCTGGGCAGAGCAAATGATTCCTACCGGTCCACCACAGCTCCTCCGTACTCAAGGTTACTTATGCGGGTGCGTGGTTAGCACAGCCGAAGTGCCTCTGACAATCTCGGCTCACCTGCCCCGGTACCACGATGATGTGCCCGGCAGCACTCATGCTTGTGGCGACGCCCTCGTGCCCTGGTGAAAAAGCGTTACCTCGTCGATGCAGCAGCTCAACTCAACCAGACATCACCAGCGCGCTCGATGGCTGTAGACAGAGGGTGGGCGACTTGCGCCTTTGCTGGCGGCGTCGAGGGTGATGTCCCGAACGTCGCCGACTTGACAGTCCCGCGTGGTCGATTGTTTCAAAGACCGCGCCTTTTTTCTACTGCTGTCACCACTCCACGGGTAGCGATTGGTGCAACTGGTACCACCGACACCAAAACCAGACGAGCACCTTGAACAAGTGATCCCCAAAGTCGATCCGGGGTGGTGGTGGTGTCTGGGTCGTAGCACTAGACTGCTCAGGACCTGCTCTATCCACCAACACACCTTTTTTCCTGTCGAGTGTATTAAACGCAGGCGCACACCACCTTCTCTAGCGACCAGGGGCCACACCGCACACCGCTGTTGCCCTCCTGCTTATAACAACGTATCTCAAAGCCGTACCGTTCGATGCGACAGCAACACTGGGAGCGAGCGACGAGCAGCAAGCAGTGCCTGCTGCCGCCCTCGCTTCGCAGGAGAAATTGCCGCGGCATTTTGGTTCGGGGATGCTATCAATCAGCCTCGGGGGCACCGGGGAATCATACAGAGGGTTCCCATGACAGCACCCAAGCGAGGCACACAGCAGTACAGCAGTAGCACACCCAGCGGCAGGCTTTACCGTGCATTGCAAAGCGAAAGGAAAGGACCGGATAGCTTGGTTGCGCGAGGAGAACTCTTTGCGGCGAGTGAAAGACTGAAAGGGCGGTACACCTCAGCGTTTCTGAGCTTTATTCTGGGCTGAGACCACCAAAACCAGAGCGATGGTAAGCTGTGCGGCCACTAAACTCTGATTTGAGTCGAGCGTGCTTGCGTTGCATCGGGAGCCACCTGTTATGGTCCAATAGCTCTCGCACCCCCCCCTTATTGTCCACCATGGAACGCTGAGGCGACGTGTGGAAGCCGACGACTGGATCGCTTTACAACGTGGTCAAATGCCCATTTATGGGGATTGTGTTGGTTCAAATCTGGGACTGACTCTCGATGGCACGATCTCTTGACGGTGCCCCACCTCCTACTCTGTCCATCTGCTGCTCTCATTGCATGCACGAGAGTTGTGATGCTAATCTCGAGTAATCGATGTTTACCACAGGGTCTGTCTTCGTAGTTGCCAGCAGTGGTCTTTTTCGTGGCAAATCAGGTGTTTTGAGGCTCCCGACCTCGGTCGGTGCGGAGCTGCTGTACTTCTAGAAGTATGTTTGCCGTACAGATGTAGGGCGCGTTGCCGCGTACAACTGCTAGCAGTCTGTCAAGGGTGCAGGGCGTTCTCACGCACCCTGCCCAGAAGATCTCTCTTACTCGAAAGGAACTCAATGGGGTTGTGAAGGGTTTCTTTTTTTATTTTGGTCTCTCCGGGGCGGCAAAAAAATGGTTGCTCAAGGCCTGTCTACCACTGCCGCGCAACTGTTATTACTTGAAACGCCGTGGATAGATGGAGCACCCTCCCGCGTATGATGAGGGTGCTGAAAAATGTGCGCGCGGACTCCAGCAGCGTAACAGCTTCACCGTCAGTACGCCCACATGTCCTGTCAGGCATATGCATTGGCACACACCAACAACACAGAACAAGGGGAGTCGCCGTCTACTTCGACACAAGGCTATCACTGCTGTTGTCGCCGTGAATCGTGCCCTTGTTGGGTTCGGACTGTCGGGGAATCAACCGCAGCGGGCATACAAGGACGACAGAAAGATTGCACAGGCGATGCCAACAACACGCCACGAGCACGATGACCTAAGAGCTACCTCAAGGCGGACCGCCTCTCAGTATTGCGGGACCCAGCCACACGATGCAGACCAGGGTTAATTAACCTTTTGATCGAAGGCGCATGCCCTTATCTCGAAAATCACACACTCCTGGCGCCTCCAAGTCACGGCTTACTGCCACACAGCTGTAGCAAGAAGGCGCATAACAACACAATGAAAACATCTCGCGCGAGTACGCGCACCCCGTGCCATCTAGGAGTGCCACTGATATATCGTGTAGTTCCCCCGTCATAACACACACCATGAACCGATTTTCAAAGCTCGATTTTCCAACAGCAGCAACAGTCGCAGGGCCGAAAACGGAAGCGTGGAAGCCGTCTGGTCGAGAGCTCTCTGAAAACGTATCGTTTGGAATGCATTCTCTTGGTTGTGGATTAATCGAGCTTTGAAGATCGGTCCAGGGGGTGTGTTGTCTTGTGTCGTATTCGGTAGTCAGCGGAGGTGAAACTACGAAGGAGGTGGCACGAACGTCGGGCTACGTGCCCGGTCACCAGCAGCTGCGAAGAACCGCCCCGGGATTGTTTCGGTGAAAACATTTTTGTCGTGCACACCCAACGCGACACCACCGAACATCACCCCTTGAATGCATTGTTCGTGCCGAAAACCGCAACCGAAGCTTGAGCAGTACCTGCCAGAAAGCGTACCACGAAGCTAGGTCTTGTTCACCACCGTCTCCTCCGAGACTCTTTTCTCCCCGACCCCTTCGTGCCGAGCAAACCACGCGTCGAGATTCCTTCCCCCAACCCGCCCGCTCGCGGTACCCCCACCCACCGCAACCCCCCTCTGTGCACGACACACAGAGGCCCATCCTTCTCAAGGGACACGAGCGTGCCATCACGTGCGTGGTGTACAACAACGACGGGGACCTCGTGTTCACGGCGGCGAAGGACCAGATCCCGTCCCTTTGGTACGCCAAGACCGGGGAGCGTATTGGCACCTACCAGGGACACCAGGGGGCGGTGTGGGACCTTTCGGTGTCATGTGAGCATAACAGTCACCGTCGTCTCAAGGTCGTTTGGGGTTGACGTCGTGTTTTAGCGCCCGCCTTATCGTACGTGGTGATTTTGCGATGGTGGTCCAGGGGACTCGACGCGCATGATGTTGGCCTCCATCTCTTTACGCCCGACCGTGCATAATTGCGATGATGATGCAGGGGATTCGACAAGGCCCATCTCGGCGTCGGCGTTTATTTTGATTTTCTTAACGCGTTCGTACCGTGCATGATGATGTGCGATTATGATTCTCTCTAACGCGTTCGTACCGCGCATGGTGATTGCGATAATGGATCCAGGAGATTCCACAAGGATCATCTCGGGGGTTGTTACTCTTCCGCTTTGGCGTATCTCCTTTCTTGATATGTTCTCTACGTCTTCTTTGCCGTGCATGACGATTTGCAATGACAAATCCAGGGGATTCGACGCGCATGCTCTCGGCTTCGGCGGACGCCTCGGCGCGCATGTGGGACGTGCAGACCGGGCGGGAGCTGGTGGTGTACAACCACATGGGGCCGGTGCGATCGGTCTCGTTCGCGGAGGGGGGTCAGCGGTTCGCGACGGTGTCGGACCCTTTCACCGACAGCCCGGGTCTCATCTCGGTGTTTGAGGCCCCGGACGATGTGCCGACAGACCAGTGTAAGTATGTTTTGTTTTGTTTTTGGGGGGGGGGTACTCATTCATGTCAGGTCCTTGACCGCGCGTCCTCTCCAGAGGACGGAGGGTTGTTCGCACAGGACCGATCACCAGTGGTCAATCGTTCCTGCCTGCTGTGCCAAAGGAGGCTCAAAAATGTGTCCCTAGCCTATCTTCCCTATCGATAAAACACCTCGTTCGGGGAAGGTTTTTCCGAGGCTGGTGGTTGATGGAGACTTGCGATATTTTTTCATCTCCGTGTATGGGTTGGGATGGCACGCGTTGTCGTGTACCTGGCGTGGGGTGTTAATGAGATGAGACCCGTAGATTGGCGTTTCATTTTCGATTGTGTTGGCTCTGATTCAGGGGCATGGCTGCTTGCAGGGGGCAGAGGGGCGTGGGCCAAGGGCAACGGTCTCTGCTCTCACGGCGTACCCAAGCCTCTAGGCTGTGCCTCCGTCTCGGGTAGTTTCCCGACGACGCGGAACGCCTTCCGAACCCTCCATAATCCTCTTCGGTTCCATCAGCAGACCCCTCTCACACACACACACACACACCCGTTCAACCCTCCGCCTCCCTTTTTTGTTGCTGCTGCAGTGGAAAAGATTGCGTGTTTGGAGATCGACCTGCCTCCCAAGATGAAGGCGACGAAGGTGGTGTGGGGGGCGTTGAATGAGAAGCTTATCGTCGCGTACGCGGACGGAACCATCAGAACGTTCGACCCCTTCGACGGGACCGAGCTCGAGTACGCCCAGGTAGGGACTCGTCAAGGGAGGAGTTCGGGGGTGAGAGAGGGAGAGAGGGAGGGAGAAGGGTGTGTTTTTTTCCTTGGACACTACTGTACTGTTGCAGAATATGCGAATGCCCTGCGTACCGGCACCCAAGCAAGGGCCAACCTACTCCGCCCATCAACACGTACACTGGGAAGGGAAAGGGGCGATGATGATGATTTTATGTCTGACTCCAACGGGGACGCAGAAGTAATTCATTGTAGTACCAGAAGAAGGGATTGCGCCGAGAGGCACTGTGGGCTAGGGAGGGGGGGACGGCGAATGGACGCGGCTCCGAGGTGGCGCAGGGTCTGCAAAAAAAAAAAACGCATGTGTGTGGCACACACTCCAGACCCTGCGGGAATGAGTGGGTGGGTAGGTTGTCGAGTTGGTGTGCTCGCGTTACCCGCTCTTCTCTCTCCACTCTCCCCCTGTCTCTCGCTCTCTCTTGTGTGTGCCCCTCACCCCCACGCAAACACGCACACTGGTCAGCCTGTGAGCGCCGTCGATACCGAGAAGCAACCAACCTCCACACGTTTGTCTCTCTTCGGTCTTCGTTTCTTCTATCTCGTGCAGGTGCACTCGAAGGATATCAACCGATTGTGCATCAACAAGGACCGGACGCTGCTGCTCACTTGCTCCAAGGACTACACGTCCAAGCTCCTCGACGCCAACACCCTCCAGGTGCGTGCGTGACACGAGGTCTTCGCAAGTTGTTGGTTGATGGAATTGCGTGAGATTGTCCTTCAGAAACGAGTTCCCTCATCACGATCGGCATGGCTGTGTAACCATTGTTGGCGTTGGTTGTGGTGCTTGTGTGGCTGTTGTTGTTGTTGATGGTGTCGCTGGTGGCGATGCTTATTTTCGTCGCGTATTGACCGCAGGGTGTGCGACTTGGCTTCTCACAAGAACAATGCCCACGGGCGTGGTAGCAGGGCACGTAGCCAGCAGCTGTCGGCTTCGTGTGCTTTATGGTGTTGTATCGTTGTACCTCAATGTTGTGCAACCCCCGTACTTCGACCACCCCTCGTGGCCCCTTCCGTCCGTATTCCAGGCATGGCTACTGTAGGGGTTTCGGTTTCCTGCTGCTTGCCCTGTTGGTGGCTTAAGCGCTTGCTGTCTGGTTTGCTCTCTGTCTTTCTCACGCCTACCCTCCCGAGGCAATACAGGAGGTGTCTTACGGAAGGTGTCTCGGACTTTCTCGCATGATGGATCAAGTTTTGTACTAAATACGCTGTTGGACTTTCTCGCATGATGGATCAAGTTTTGTACTAAATACGCTGACTGGAGCGGAGACACACGTGGCTTTGGGTTGTGACCACCTGCTCCCCGTCCCCTGCGTTATTCTGCCGATGTTCCTTGATATTTCGTTGACCGCAGGTCCTGAAGACGTACAAGACGGACCGGCCGGTGAACGCCTCTGTCATGCACCCAACCAAGGTACGACGGATCATTGATCTTTTTTCTTTTTGCTGTTGTTGCTGCTGCTGCTGCTGCTGCTGCTGCTGCGGACTCGCCCCAAGCCCGAACCATGTTGCAGATGTTTTTTTTTTTTCAACTCTTCCATTGGCAATGAACAAACGATGCCGTTTAGAAGGTATTGCCCGCAATGATAGCAGCAACAATTCGTCGCTCCAACACTCCCACACTCCCACTCTCCCACAAGCTGCTTTTTCTGTACCATGGCATTTTTTTTTTTCGTTTCGTTGATTTCTAGAAAGACCTGCCCCCGTCTTTTGGGGTAGTTGGTCTGTGACCACGCAAGACGTCCGCGTTAGTTGGACAGTACCCATATGAGCGGACACCGGAACGGTTTTTATCGTGAAGACCAACACAACTACATACAACAACAATGACCGTGACCTTGGCCCTCACCCTGGTTGCCGCCGAGCAGGAACACGTGATCCTCGGGGGAGGGCAGGACGCCATGTCCGTGACCACCACCTCCTCGAACGTTGGCAAGTTCGAGTCCCGGTTCTTCCACATGATATACGAGACGGAGTTCGGCAGAGTTAAGGGACAC